TGAGCTATCAGTCGTACGCCCCTCATTTCTTGATCCTTTGGCCATTGTAGGGCGTTTTTCGAGCGCATAAACGAATAAACAAAACCGCGCAGCATACCTGGGAAGTGTCAGAATGTCAGAAGTTTTATTTTGTCAAAGAACAAAACAATACGAACACTTATAACAGTGTCGAGTAAGGGTGTTGTCAGTACAACATAGAACTCTCTCTCGTTGACAAGATGACATACTGACCGTTGAAATGATTGAGAAGCGACAAACGAAACAAAAACTTCCTAAGAGCTAAACAGAACATTTTCTAAGCAATTTGGATTCATCACCATATGAATTCCACGAAAGAACTGTCACAAAATGACATGCCAGATTATGAAGGAGGGGCCACCCACGACTCTCATCTGAGAAACCACCCAAGGTGTTGTAGGGGTGGGATTGATGACTGTGAACGTGTGCGGTATCATCACAGTTTATACATATCAAATAAATAATAAACACACACGAACAATTCAAAAGGTTGCGCGTGTGTGAAATGGAGACGGCGAACAACCAAAGAGCACCAAATATCGACATAGTATCGGGTTTTAAATCACAAAAGGGCGAGATGGGGACGACGACAGTCGAACAGGGGGGTGTGGCGAACAACGAACGGGGACATGGGGGTATGTGAGCAATTTCGAGTGTACAATAGTGTCAAGGACAACTTTAATGTAACTTTTAATATTTGATACTTTCAACAAAAAACACAACGAGCCTCTAACATAAGCCATGTCGACACCCCTCATCAGGGAGCAGAGCGATTAGTGCTAACCAACACAGTCATAAATCCCAACAAGAACTGGGCTCGATAGCAGGAACACGTGACGTCACAATGGGACAACATCCACCTTCATATAGTCGTTCTCGCTACGGATGCTGGATTGGGGAAGAGGTTTAACGCGGCGCCAGCCCGTGTTCTACCAAAAATTGTCGCTTGCCCGCTTCAATAGTTGGTGGAGAACGAACTGGCGCTGGCGACAAACCCATCCCTCATGCCGACCACTATTCGTGGAGAAAGCTAACCTGGCTGCTCCTTTTGCACGCCCTCCCACCTACAGGGATGACGACTGTATCTCACCTTCAAGCGATACCATACCCGGTTGACGTGGGCTAAATCTATGCCCCATAAAACAGGCCTGACTTCTGTCCTGACGACATGCTCCATCTGGCTCTGTCATGCATCCGCAGATTTATCATGTCTCGAAAATGGAAAAGGCGTGGCTTCACGCTGCCCTTGCACTTCGCAGGATGGATTTTCCGTGGAATATCTCTGTTTGGGACGACCGTCAGCCTGTCTTGCGACTGCACGAATAACATGGTTACAGCTGTACCGAAGCATAGGACAATATTCGCGTCAAAAGCGGAAGAGCGCCAACACTGTTGTGAAACGGCCGGTGCGCAGCCACGCCCCCTCACTACAAGGATATGAAGTGTATCAATCAGTTATCGTTCCTTCGTAACTCGTGCAAGTCTATCCTGGGCTCCCGGGAGATCGAGGAATGGCTATGCCAGCTTTGTCGTGAGTTGCATTTTAAGAAGGCTGTAACACTCAGCTGCGATCGGTAGTTTTGCATGGGCAGCCGGCCACACTTTGCGAATTATGGATGCTGCTTAATCGCTCTGTTGGTGAGACAGGAATGTGGGGAATTCCTGAAGGCCACCGCTACCAGCCAAAAAGTCAGTTTTCCTTTATCGTCTAGGTCCAGCTCCAGGGAAAAAAGCAGCAACCAAACAGACAGATGCTGTGTATGTACAACCCAACTGTTACCCAATAGTGGTATTCCTACATATTACCACGACTTTTGAAAGAAACGGGCATTCACCGCTGTTCATAACCTCGTCGATTGTTGCATATGTTGTGCCTTGAGGAAGTTCAGATTCACGTAGGTAGGATCCCGAATTTCGCTCTCTTCAGAGGCTGGACCGTCTTCCTCGGCCAAATTGGGGGGAGCGGTCAGGGTTGACGCTTCTCGCATGGTATAGAACACGTCGCTGCTGACTACCATACTGTCACCGGTGCCATACTCGTTGTAGTCGTCCACCTAAAGAAAGAAATAGGTCCAACTGATGGCTAATCAGGATTAGAAGGTCCAACTGATGGCTAATTAGGATTAACCAAGGACATACCGGTGGCGCTGGAGCCAATTGCGTCGGTGGTGCATCGATCTCTTCACCTACAAAATGTCCCCTCCGCCGTAGTTCTTGGTCAATATTGTACCTGAAAAGGATCGCTTTTAAGGGATACACAAGGAGAAACATGTGTGACTTACCTATAGTGGTAATATCGCTGCCTAATCTGCCACTGATACTGCTGCTCTTCCATTCGAAGGATACGAAGGAAATTGTCCAATTCAGGAACTTCGAACGCATCCCACTAAACGACAATGGATTTAGTTGTTTAGGAACACCAGAACATTACTGTTTCTCAACAGATATTTTTTCATCCTTAAAAGCAGTCGGCACGATAAATCTCTAAGACGAGTAGGATTAATACGCCTGGCAGGACGGAATTCCGCGACCCTGAGCAGGCGCTGCGTAGCGCCTTTTCCAAGGAAGGTACCCTTATAAGGCCCTATCAAGCTACAACATACAACCCGACGCCCACCACGCCCGCCCGCCCACAAATGGACGACCGTACCTGATGCTCGTATTGCTTCATTTGCTAAGTAAAATATGAAGCGAAGGGATTGGTATGAAGCGGCTGCGGTGCTGCATGGACATGAGTACATACGTGCAGCCGTAGCGGTTATTGGCAAGATGCCTACGGGAAACTCGTCCGAAATTGCTTTTTGAGTCATTGAGAACGAAGGCTTTTCTTCTCAGCAGGTTTTTGACCGTTTCACTTCGTTTTTTCGTCATTTTCCCAATAGCGCCCTGCTAGCATTTTAGGCCAAGCACCAAATTATCGTGCCAACTGCCTTTAAGAAAACACCACACATTCGACTTTCTAGGCCAACCATGGGACCACATAGCAATACTACTGAGTTCCTCTTTTGTTCGGCCCAGGGGGAGGCATTTTCCACTTTTTTTGTTTCTCTTGCTCGTTCCTGTTCATATACAGGCCCACTTTGAGGACACCTGTAAAGTATTGCCATAAGTAAGCGAAGCCTGTGCTTCTGTGTGGCTTTGCAAAAGTTTACAGGTCTCCAAAAGCCGAACTGCGTCCCGATTACCATGAAGGCCGGAAGCAGGGTACACCATCTGGGCTGGGTGAAACGGCGATTTCAGAAGGACCCCGCCCCAAAATTTCACTTTTCAGCATGACTCCTGCCCCATCGTACCTAACACCTTTCCAGTCTCCCAGATGCCTACCGATTTTCCAAAACTTTTCCTTTTCCGTTTCCAAGAAAACTGCCGTCGGACGAAAAATAGTGTGGGGGAAGTGGGGGAGTACGCTACCGAACAGCTACCAAAATCAACCATAAAAAATCGCAGTTGCATAGTAGTTCTGTAGTAACCCCGACCAGGGTAAGTACGGGAATATATGTATGGCGCA